GTCAATAAACTTGTTTTACTGTTTATCTTTATCAGTGAGTTTGCCTGAAATGTTTGGTAGATCTGCTCAGGTTTGCAAAGGCTGGTGTGTATCCACTTTCCATTGATGAAGTGGTGAACCAAGTAATAAACCTGCACTGCTTATCTTGAACAGTGGAAGACGGTATATTCCTGAGACGCCAGGCTGGGAGCTGGGGGGATTGGGCTGGTGCCTTTTTCTGTGATTTATGAGTGGCTCTGGGAGCATTCATGCAATCTGGCTGGGTGTGGGGCTCCACATCCAGTTGGGCTGAGTGAGAACAGCTCCTGGAGGGGTTTGCTGCTTGTTGTCTCTCACAATGCTTTGCTAGTGACAGACAACCCAGGCTGGAGAGTTAAGGGGGTACAGCAGTCCCAGGCTGTACCCCGGGGATCCCGCCGCACTTTTCAGAAAGCCTGTGACAAGGTCCCTCAACAAAGGCTCTTAAGCAAAGTGAGCTGTCATGGGATAAGGGGGAAGGTCCTCTCATGGATCGGTAACTGGTTAAAAGATAGGAAACAAAGGGTAGGAATAAATGGTCAGTTTTCAGAATGGAGAGAGGTAAATAGTGCTATCCACCAGGGGTCTGTACTGGGCCCAGTCTTATTCAACACATTCATAAATGATCTGGAAAAAGGGGTAAACAGGGAGGTGGCAAAATTTTGAGTAGTTTTGTATCATCTGCAGACAGTTAAATCCCAGGAAGACTGTGAAGAGCTACAAAAGGATCCCTCAAAACTGGGTGACTGGGCCACAGAATGGCAGATGAAATTCAGTGTTGATAAATGCAAAGTAATGCACATTGGAAAACACAATCCCAACTATACATACAAAGTGATGGGGTCTAAATTAGCTGTTACCACTCAAGAAAAAGACCTTGGAGTCAGTGTGGATAGTTCTCTGAAAACAGCCGCTCAATGTGCAGTGGCAGTCAAAAAAGTGAACAGAATGTTGGGAATCATTAGGAAAGGGATAGATAATAAGACAGAAAATAGCATATTGCCCAAGTCTATATAAATCCATGGTACGCCCATAGCTTGAATACTGCGTGCAGATATGGTCAATCACCCCATCTCAAGAGAGATATATTGGAATTGGAAAAGGTTCAGAAAAGGGCAACAAAAATTATTAGGGGTATGGAATGGCTGTTGTATGAGGAGAGATTAATAATGATGGGACTTTTCAGCTTGGAAAAGAGACGGCTAAGGGGGGGGGATAGGATTGAGGTCTATAAAATCATGACTGGTGTGGAGAAAGTAAATAAAGAAGTGTTATTTACTTCTCATAACACAAGAACTAGGGGGCACCAAATGAAATTAATAGGCAGCAAGTTTAAAACAAACAAAAGGGAATATTTTTTCACACGACGCAATGTCAGTCTCTGGAACTCTTTGCCAGAGGATGTTGTGAAGGCCGAGACTATAACAGGGTTAAAAAAAGAACTAGATAAGTTCATGGAGGATAGGTCCATCAACGGCTATTAGCCAGGATGGCCAGAGATGGTGTCCCTAGCATCTGTTTGCCAGAAGCTGGGAATGTGCGACAGGGGATGGATCACTTGATGATTACCTGTTCTGTTCATTCCCTCTGGGGCACCTGGCATTGGCCACTGTCGGAAGACAGGATACTGGGCTAGATGGACCTTTGGTCTGACCCAGTATGGCCATTCTCATGTAACCCTCCCAGAGCCCCCCGCTGCAGGGAGAGTGCATCAGAAATAGAGCAGGGAGCCTGCTCCCTAACCTCACCACTGCAGGGAAAGCTGTCACCCCCCCAGTGCTGCTGCCAGCTGGCCCCAGATAAAAGCATCACACCCATTGGGTGCCCGGGGGGCAGAACCCCAATGAGCTGACAGCCAGTGGTCTGCTTCACGCCCACTGGCACTTACCCTGTCCCGGTTGTTTTTGACCAGCGAGATGTTGGCAATGGGGAAGGAGCAGAGATCAGGGCCTGGCAAGCCACAGTCTGTCCTGTGAGACACAAGGCAGTGGGTCATGTTCAGGGGCCACCAGCTCCCCCAGACCTCTTCAACCTCCCCCCTCCCGCTTCCACTGCTACTGCAGGAGTTCAGACCCTTACACTTGGGAACAAGTCTCAGCTCAGAGGCACCCACAACCCCAAAAAGTGTGTGTGGGCTGGGGAGGTGCCCAGGAGAGCCCTGTCTCAGGAGATATGGCCCAGAGCAGTGGTCAGGTGGTGCACAGAATCCTAGAACCACAGGTTAGAAGGGACTGCAAGGGTCATCTTGTCTAACTCCCTGCCAAGATACAGCATTTGTTGGTTCTAATCCATCCAAGACAGATGGTTTTCCAGCCTCTTTTTGAAAACCGCCAGCGAAGGAGCTTCTACAGCCTTCCTAAGTAGTCTGTCCCATCCCAGGAAGCAGGGGGGGTCTGGGCCATCCCAGGGGTGCCCCACTCACCTGAAGCCGTAGTGCACAGGGCTGACATAGCTGACGGTGGGCATGTAGGAGTAGTAGAAGCTGCCATAGAGGAAGACAGCGATCCAGAGCAGCAGCAACAGCACGCAGAGCAGGATAGCTGTCTGCAGCACCGTGCGCCGCACCCGCAGCAGCAGCAGTGCGGCCACCTCCTGGGCCCATTGCAGAAAAGGCCCCGTACTACTCATCATGGCACAGGGGCCTTGAGAGGCCACACACTGGTGTCTGGGGAGAGCCAAGCCCCCAGCTTCTGTATTGAGGAAGGGGGAAATGGAGCGGCAGTGCCTACTCGAGTGCTTGCGAAACGGCTCAGGCTGCTGGAGAGTTCTCTTGGCCAAACTGGAAAGGGCCCAGGCTCAGTGGTTCCTTTATAGGGAAAGGGCTCTGGCTTAGGGCACGCTGGCTGGCCCGTCTGCGCCGCTTAGCCTTCCAGTAATTGTCTCTAGCCATGGAAGAAGGTACCACGGGAGTCACTGGCACCAGGACATGGTGAGCAGGGCCATGCCAACAGGCTTGGCATAGGCCTGCCCTGGGATTAGTCACACGCTGGAGTCTTGCCTCAGGGGCCAAAGACTGGAGCCAATCTGAGGAAGAAAGGACACAAAAAACAGGATCAGCATGGAAACCACATGGGTGAGTCTAGACTAGGATTGCATGACTAGAAGCCCGGACTCCTGGGTTCTGTGCCAGCCTAGGGGGAAAGGGATGTGTTAGGAGTCTGGATGCTTGGGCCTATTAGTAGCTTGGAAAGGGGGAGGGGAGCAGGACTAGATGTCTGGGTACTAGTCTCAGCTAGACAGGAGGGCTTGGGAGTGGAGCTGGGAGTTTAGACTCCCGGTTCTACCTGTGAGAAATGCTATCCAAGAACTCGGGGGAGGTCTAGTGGTTAGAGCAGGGGGCACTTACAGCCTGGACTCACCAGCTCCGGGAGGGCGCTAGGAGCCAGGACTCCTGGGTTCTATCCCAGCCCTGGGTGGGGGAGGGGTCTAATGGTTAGAGGGGGCGGGGGGGAGCTAGGACTCCAAGGTTCTGTCCTAGACCGGTGCGGGGTGGGGCCCGGAGGTCAGGGCAGGAACCACGGAGCCCCGAGTTCTAGGCCTGGGCAGGGTACACCAGGAGCCGGTCCCAGGGTCCCAGCACGTCTCTTACTGACCCGTGCAGCTCCGTCCTGGATCAGCTGCTCCTGCTCCGCCCCTTCCGGGAGCGAGCGGGAGCCGGCAAAGACGGCGGGGCGGGGCGGGGCCGGGAAAAGCTCCTCCCACTGCAGGCACCGTCGGTCACATCATTCAAGACGCGCCTCTCCCTGTTTCCATGGTGACACGATCCCCGAGCGAGCCCGAACAGACCCCCCCAAAGCTCCCTTCCCCCGTGACACCCTGCCGCTCCAGTCCCCTCCACCTCCCACCGAGAGACCCCTCCCACTCCAGGGACAGCCCCTCTCAGAGGGATCCCCCAGTCCAGTGTCCCTGTCCCCGTCCTCCCAGAGCAGCCCCCCTGAGAGACAGCAAGACCAGACCCATCCCAGACAGACCCACCCCCCAGGGCTGATGGGCTCCCAGCCAACTCTGCCCCCAGCCCGGAGAGAGACCCCCCTCTCACGTCCATGCCATGTCCTCCACAGCAAGATCCGCCCCGGGAGCCTGCCCCCCTTCTTCACCGAGTATATTTGCTCTTCCCCCCAGGGACCCCTCCAACTCTGGGGACCTCCCTCAGAGAGACCCCCTCCTCAAGGCCTCCCCCCAGACAATGCTCTAAAGTAAGGGGGAGCAGGGGAGAGGGCAGCAGGACTTGTATTGGGGCCCAGCCACACAGAGCTGGGCCAGTCCTAGGTGCCTGCTTGACACCCCAGGTAGCTGGGAGTCAGGACTCCTGGGTTCTGTTCCCAGCTCTGGGGGAATGGATTGGTGTCTGGCGGTGAGAACTGGGGGGCTGGGAGCCAGGACTCCTGGGTTCTATCCCTGGCCCTGGCCGAGACATGCTGGGTTGCTCCAGATGTGTCTGTTCCCCTCTCCGTTCCTCAGTTTCCCTCTCTCTGGACTGGGGCTAACCTTGGGCTCTTAGGTGTGAAACCAGCCAGTCCCCAGCAGGGCTGAACGCCGCTGCCTGTTCCCCACCCCCTCACACTCCAGGCACTCGCCCAGCCCCAGGCCCCCTGGGGAGGGGCTCAGAACCAGGCAGGGTAGCAGCCCCCATGCCCGGCGTAGCTCCTGATGTCAGATTTCCAAATGAGTATGGTGGGGAGACAGCATCCTCACTGCAGCTACTGCGGGCCTGTACCACCAGCAGCTGTGCAGGGGTGCCCGGAGCCCAGCCACTGCCTTGGCCCCCTCCTGGGGCGCTCTGCCTCCCCAGCGCCCGCTCCCTTTCTCCTGCCCTGCCAGGGGCTGTGCACCAGGGGGCCCTGGGGCCTGGGCAAGGAGCCAGAGCTCAGCCGGGCTCCGCTGGGCGTGCGCTCCTCCCCCCGGAGCGGGCATGGTCCGCTCCCAGCATCAAGCGGCTCGGAGCATCCTCAAGGTACCACGGGCGCATTGAATTAGCTGCATCCCGGAGGAGGCACAGGGAGCGGAGCCGTCTGCAGGACGCCCGGGGCACCTGGGCACACAGGGGAGCCCATCCCAGAGTCTCTCCAGCTCTGGCAGCGACCGTCGAAGGTCAGTGCCCAGGGGTGCCCTGACTGGCCACTGGGGCGTGCCTGGGTACCCAGAGGGGCAGCCAGCCTTGATGGGGGGGAGGGGGGAGGGGGCAGCTGGTATCATCTCTGTACCGTCATGGCCAATGTGGGGCTGGATGGTGGATGAGGCCCCAGCCATGCCACTGCTTCGGGAAAGGGGGGATGGAGGCAGGGTTCTCCCCCATCTGCACCCAAAGCATATTGCAGAGAGAGAGGACAGGATCGAAAAGACGCTGCATTTAGGGGCTCGGGCAGATGGACTGGGGGGTGCAGCTGGGGAGTGGGCTGCTGAAGCTGTTAGAAGCAGAGCACAGCAAGCAGCAGCCCCTTTGTCTGCACACAGGGCTGGGCTAGTCATCCTGTATCCGCGCCCAGCACTGTACCGGGGGACACGGGTGCTGCTCCAGAGACAGCAGTGAGGGGCTGGAGGCTGTGACTCAGCTGGGTAAAAAGGGGCTCAAAGACGGGCTAGAGCTGGGAGGGGGCACTCAGCTCCTGCCTCCCAGCCTGGTGCTCAGGCCAGTCTGGGATTTTGGGGTCCAGGGGTCTTAGTCCCACCAAGAGACAATCCTGCTGGGCAGCACAGGGCCCACTGTGCCAGAGGCTGGGGATAGAAGGGGGATGGGGGGCTCAGGGATGGTCCCCTCAGCTCCCCTCTCCCTGGGACTGAGCCCTGGGCAGGCACAATCCCCCCTTCAGCCTGGGTAGGCGGCCGTCAGCGTTGAGTGACCATAGGGGCATGACAGTCCATTCTGCATCTACTGCCTCCCACAATCTCAAGAGGAGCAGTTAATGTACGTAGAACGATGCTCCTAGCCATAAAGCACTCCTGGCCATCGGATGGTACCTTGCTACCCATGGGCAATGACCCCCCCCCACACACACACATGGGCAATGACTCTCCCCCGAATCTCTCCAGGGCAGGAGTAGCCATACTGGAGCAAATTGGGGCTATCATTCTGGAGCAAACCCCTGCCATGCCCTCCCCCACAATCCCCTCCCCAAGGGGATTGGGCTCCGACTAGGGGTCCAGGGACTGTCAGGACACCATCTAACCATGGGCCAGGTGGTCCTGGGCAGCCAAGATTGGGGATACAGGTGCCCCAGCAGCTGGGAGGTCTGGGTTATAGGGGAAACACTGGACGGTCAGGGATATAAAGCCCAGGCCAGGAGAGAGTGGGGCAGACGGGGAAGCTGGTGGGGAGGAGCTGAGCCCAGTCAGGATTGGAGCCCTCTCTAACCCACAGACAGCTGGGGACAGTGCTGAGGGGCTAGGAGTGACACAAAGCTGAGGGCAGGGGCAGTTGTCCAGGGCTCTGTGCCCACCCCATTGGTCAGGAGGCTCCAGGATACAGGCCCCCAGGTGCCCCATGACCCTTGTCCATGCTGAGCCCAACCTATGCTCTCCTTCTACAGGGTCCCCATGAAGGGCGAAACCCCCGTCAACAGTACCATGAGCATCGGGCAGGCCCGCAAGATGGTGGAGCAGCTCAAGATTGAGGCCAGCATGTGCCGGATAAAGGTGGGGACTGGGGTGGCATCTTGACTGTGGCAGAAAAGGGCCCCACTCACTCACCCACCTCCAGAACTGGATTAGCGAGGAGTTCCCCCCACAGCCAATGCTCCTGCCCCACTCCCTGCAGCATCCTCTGTGGGGAGGCCAGAGCTGGAGTAGCCAGGAACTCCACCACACCCCCACAGCCAGTGCTCCTCCCCCACTCCCTGCAGTGTTCGGTTAGGAGAGGCCAAGGCTGGAGTAGCTGGGAGCTCCCCCTGCTCCTTACAGCGCCTCCTGCTGGGCCCACCCTGCAGAGTTCTCACCCCTCCCCTCCCTGCAGGTATCCAAGGCAGCAGCTGATCTGATGACATACTGTGATGCCCACGCCTGCGAAGACCCACTCATCACCCCGGTGCCCACCTCCGAGAACCCGTTTCGTGAGAAGAAGTTCTTCTGTGCCCTGCTCTGAGCCTTGCCTGCCCCACCCCTCAGCTACAGCCACCGTGTAATGCCCACTCTTAGCCTCTCCTCCCACTCTGCCCGGGTGATTGGGCAGGACTTCCCAGGTAGGGCCTGACCCACCGCCAAAGTCTCAGGCCTCTCCACCACCCAAACTTCCACAGACAGGGCACCTGCCCGGAGCACAAGCCCCCAAAGCCCCTCCCCTTCAGGGGGAACCCATCCCACCCCTACCCCACACACATCAAAGCAGGAGGGGGTATCACACCTCACCCAGGCAGGAGTCACAACAAGTCCTGCTCCCCTCTCCAGGCCTGGGGCAGCTGAAGCTGCAGGCCCATCCCCAGCAGCATCACACTGACCCCGAATCATCCCATTTCCATTAGGGGGGAGGGTGTTAGCTCCCAGCCTGCTGCTCCTGGGTGCCAAAGGGGGAAAGAGGCTCATCCCCTTCCCCCAGGGCTGGAGGGGCAGCGCCCAGATTGCAGGGCTCAGCCGCTCCACACAATATAAACGGAGACCTTGAGAATAAAGTAACAGGAGGCACAGTGCCTGGGGTGGCATCAGTGTTATTGCGGCACCAGGAGCAGTGCTGGAGGTGATGCTGGCACTAGAGGGCCTGGGTTGGGGGGATGGGGTGGGCATGGGCAGTGCCATTAGAAGAGGCTGGCTGGGGGTGGATAGGAACACTGGCTGGGGCTTGTTTGTGGGGTGGGCAGGGGGCACTTTTGGGACTAGGGGCCTAGCTTGAGCAGTGAGTGGGGGCCAGGGGCAATGCCAGGAGCTTTGCTGACATGTATGGGGAGTGGGCAGCCTCCAGCAATGGGGCCCGATGGTGGGAGCGATGCCCAGGATATAGTCCCCAGAGCCAGTCACCATCCCAGTGGAGATTGGCTCAGGGACCCCAGGAGGGAAGGGAGCAGCCCAGACACCCCCTACTCCCCTCCTGCCCAATTCCCAGCCCTTGGGGAAGCTCAGTGGCTTCCTACACACACAATAATCCACCCACCCCCAAAAACAGCACCTGGCACCCCTCCCCTCCCGCCCCAGTGCTGGGGCACACATGGCCCCTCTCAACTGACAGGGCCAGACAGCACCCACCCCAGTCCTATCGCACCCCCCACTGACACATCACTGGGTTCATGGGGAAAATAAATCATGGCTCTTTATAGCTATTTCTATACAGTGAAAAAGCAGCTGTGAGACTGCCCACAGTGGGGGGCACAGCAGGGAGATCCAGGCATGGGGGGAGAGGAGACAGGGGTGCCCAGTGGGGAAGGGCAGGGTGATCTTTGCCCCCATGGGGGGCAGGAGTGACAGGTAGAACAGGAGCCAGGTTTGGGCTGGGGCCCCCCCACGTGGAGCGAGCACAGCCCGCCTGGCACAGTCCTGGAGTGAGGGGGAGGGGAGCCGCACAGTCCAGCCTCCAGCATGGGGGAGCAGAATGTGGCAGGCAGCCTGTAAACCGCAGGCCAGGACTCCCCAGCATGGGCAGCACTGGGGGAGGGGGGCAAAGGGGGGGGCGGAGTGAAATTACAATTCACTCTCTCCCAGGAGGGGTGGAGCCCCCCACAGCGCAGGGGGTGCAGGGCAGAGTGAGAGGCACGTGGTCCCTGTGATCCTTTGCTGAGGGTCTGTGTGTCAGGGGTTGTCCTGGGGCAGAGCCCCTGCGACTGACAGACGGCCAGGGAGGCTCAGAAAATCTTGATGATGGATTCGCGGAACTTCCCGACACCGACCCACTTCACTGTGAGAGGAGAAAGGGGGGTGAGAACTGGGAACTCCCAGCCCTGTGGGGCAGATCCCTCCCCCACACAGAGCAGATTCCCCCTCCTCTCTTCCCGCCACACATGCAAGGCCGATCTCCTCCACCCCCCAGACAGAACCCAAGTGACAGCCTGGGTGGAGGGGGAGGCTCCAAAAACCTTGATGAAGGATTTGTGGAACTTTCTGACACACAGACCCACTTCACCGTGGGAGGAGCGAGGCAGATCCCATGCCCCATGGCATTCCCAATCCAGGGAACTACGCAGCACCCCAAAGAGGGCGCCCAGCATGCCCATCCCCAGGCCCTGATGCTGGGGCTGTGAGCCAGGCCAGCAGGCAGCTCAGTAGGGCTGTGGACGTACCTGGCACCCCGAGGTAGCGCTCGATGAAGTGGACATAGCTCTGGGCCTGCGGAGGCAAGTCAGCAAAGCTGCGGGCCTGCTCTGTGCTGCACTGCCAGCCTGGCAGCGTCTCATAGCCCACCGACACCTTGTTCAGCAGCTCCTGGTTCGCTGCGGGGAGCAGAGGCGCTTACTGGCTGCTGCAGGCCCAAGAGGGCCCCTATCCCCCCACCCCCAAGGTGGTTCAGCCCCTACTACCCACGGAACCCCTATCCCCCCTCCCAGGAAGCTCCCCCCCCACACACACACTCCTCGGACAGCTCTGCCCCCTGCACTTCCTGAGGGATGCCTGTCCCGACCCAGGGATAGCTCAGTCCCTCCCCTCTCTCTCCTGGAGCCCTGCACCACTCCCCGCACAGAAGCCTCTCCCGCCCCCAAGCTCAGGGGATACAAGGCCTGAGGCCCAGAGGCCACTGCCCTCTCATTGTGGGAAAGGCAGAAGAAAGGGCAATACCTCCCCTTCACAGGGTAACCCAGCCACTGGCTCACCTGGGAAGTAGGCGATGGGTTTCCCCTCCAGCTGGTATTCCACGCCCACCTTAATCTCCGGGAAGGTGTCCAGGATATCCAGCTTGGTGAGCGCCAGGCTGCAGGGAGAGCAGGGGAAGAGGGTTGAGACCAGAGTGTGTGGGAGCCAGTGACTGACAGTAGGGGAGTGCATGAGGTGAGAAAGGTTAGTGAGACTGTAGGAAGGGAGGGACAATGGGGGGGCGAAGATTGGAGGGGGGGGTTAGTGAGGCTGTGGGTAATGGGGGAGGAGATGGCAGGGTGGGTGTAGAGGGGGTTACTGAGGCTGTGAGGTGGGGGCAATGGGGGAGGGGATGTAGTCCTTACGCGCTGAATCCGTTGATCATATGGGCGTATCTCACCAGCATCAGGTCCAGCCACCCACAGCGGCGTTTGCGGCCTGTGGTGACACCGAATTCTTGGCCCTGTGACTGCAGCAGTTCCCCAATCTCCTGTGGGGCCAGAGGGGAAGGGATAGGCCGTTACTCCTGGGATCCCAGAGGGCCAGGATCTTCCCTGCTCCCTGGGGCGGGGGGACCAGGGTGCTCCCTGTCCCTTCAGAGGGAAAGCCTATGAATCCCACTTCCCTCTCTCTGGGACTGCCCATAAGCATCAGGGGACGTCCCCCCACTCCGCAACTGGCCATTCAGACCCACCCCCCACACTCACGTTGTCCTGCTCGGTGGGGAAGGTTCCAACACCCACCCGGGTGGCGTAAGCCTTCACCACCCCATACACCTTCCCAATGTGGCAAGGTGGGACGCCCAGGCCTGTGCAGACGCCCCCCACTGTGCAGTTCGAGGATGTCACAAACGGGTATGTCCCTGGGGAGAGATGAGAGACCAGAGTGAGCTAAGCAGGGGGTGGCAGCAAATGGGGCCTTCAGAAATGGGACTCAGGTCCCCCCATTCCCAGCCCATACACCACTATCCCAGCCCCAGACTCCAGTTGTGATGAGGACTCTCTCTTCCCAGCCTGCACTGCGGTAATCAGAACGTGTTCTCTTTGGCTCCCACTGCTTTTGCTGTGCGGAGCCCCGTGGAGCAGGGAGTGGTGCAAAATGTGGGAATTTTGGTGCTATTTTGATTAACAATGTGTGTGACTCAGTTTCCCTACTCACTTTGTGTTGCTCCCTGCTGGGGGTGAGGGTTAATTTCTCCTCTGAGAAGGGTGAGAAGGGATGGCTGGGTGCCACACAACCGTATTGGTTCCAGCCCAGATAGCTTATCCAGAGCTGAGCGCAGTCAGCCCAGATGAACGGAGGGCCCTGCAGAGACAATGGAAACCCAAAGCAAAGCACGACAGCGAAAGCAGCAGGGCTGGAGTTAGGAACAAAGGAGCAGGAGTAGTGAGGAGAGAGGGCAATCTTGGCAGCCCCAGGCAGAGCACACACAGGGTCAGACAGACACAGGCTCCAGGAGGCCATGGAGAAAGTGGGGCAGTTGCTTCTGCCAATACTGGCTCAGATTTAAGTCCTGCTTTCACGGCTAACCCAAGTCTTGAAGCCTTGCAGCTGCCCTGGGAAAAGCTAAGCCCAGGGCCTGGTGCTCCCTAGAGACTGCACAGAGGCAGGGGGGCCTCAGCTGCCATACACTGGGCACGAGGGCAGTGCGCCGCACTTACCGAAGTCGATATCCAGCAGTGCAGCATTGGCTCCTTCCACCAGGATCTTCTTGGGGGGCCCGTGCAGGGCCTGGTGCATGAAATAGACACCATCCTTCACCAGGGGCCGGATCCTTTCAGCATAGACCTGGGGAGAGATGCTGGGATCAGATGGGGGAGGTGCAACCACTCAGTCTCTGGGGCTACTCAGGGACACTGGGTGTTCTCAGCCAGCTGGGGGATCAGGGTGTATTTCCAGGGGAAGGGGAGGGCAGTTCCTGGGAGGCTGGTTCATACCCAGGTGGGGGACCCTGGAGGCAAGGAGAAATTGTGGGTGGTTCTCAGGGAGGTAGGGATCCCCAGAGGGGAAGGTGGTGTTTCTGGGGGGCAGGTTGGGGACTCCTGGGGGGAAGGGTTATTCCTGGGGCAGAGGGGAGGGTGGTTCACAGCTGGGGGGCATCACTGGGGCCCCACCCACCTTCAGCTGTTGCAGCTCGACCTCTGTGTTGATGGTGAGAGCCGGGTACGTGGCCTTGTACTGCTGGGCTAGCACCCTGAACCTGTGAGAGAGAGATAGGGACCAGTGATCCCACAAGGGCACCCCTAAACACCGCTGCACTGCCCGGGGTCACAGACGCCCAAGCTCTGCACTGCCACGTGGGGTGTGATGTGTGAACAGATTCCATGGGCAGGGCATCCTGAGAAGGCCCCAGGGCTGGGGGGCATGAATGGATCCCCGGGGGCCCCTGGACATCTTTGTGAAAGGATTCCTTCCCTCCTTTCCCTCCCCCTCAACTCACTTCTTGGAGAACTCATGGAAGTCGGCCAGCAGGTCACAGATGCGCAGGCCGGTGCGGGAAGCCTTGCAGGCATAGACGGGGCCGATGCCCTTCTTGGTGGTGCCCAGACTGCCAGGGAAGCAGAGTCAAAGCTGGGTGGTGGTGGGAGCTCCTCCTACCCGCCAGGCTGCAGCCAGACTGGATGCTCCCCACACTGGCCCAGGCTGCAGGGAGATGAGCTGCCCTGTCACCAGAGGATGGGAATCCCACAGAAACAACCTCCTCTCCCCTCAACCCCAGCCCAGCCATTGGTGACCAAGGGGAACCCCTAAGAAAATGCCCCGCTCCAGGGGACCCAGCTATAATCCTCCCCAGGCCCAGGCCCAGGCCCAGCTCCATCCCTCCTGCCCCTCCCAAATGGGGACCCAGCTGTTAAGCCCCTCACTTCTTGCCATCTT